CTCTTTCTTGCCTAATTGCTCTGGCTAGTACTTCCAGTACTATATTAAATAGGAGTGGTGATAAAGGACATCCTTGTCTTGTGCCTGATTTTAAAGTAAAGGCTTTCAATTTTTGGCCATTTAGTATGATGCTGGCTGTTGGTTTGTCATAAATGGCCTTTATTATATTGAGGTAAAGACCATCTATTCCAATTTTCTGTAAAGTTTTTATCATGAATAAATGTTGGACCTTATCAAAGGCTTTTTCTGCATCTATAGAAATGATCATGTGATTCTTATTTTTGGCTTTATTGATATGGTGGATTACATTTATTGATTTGCGTATGTTGAACCATCCTTGCATTCCTGGGATGAATCCCACTTGGTCATGGTGTATAATCTTCTTGATGATTTGCTGGATCCTATTTGCCAATATTTTATTGAGGATTTTTGCATCTGTGTTCATTAGGGAGATCGGTCTATAGTTCTCTTTTTTAGTTGGGTCTTTCTCAGGTTTTGGTACTAGAGTAATATTTGCTTCCAGGAATGACTTAGGAAGGATTGCTTCCCTTTCAATTTCATTGAATAGTTTGAGGAGTGTCGGCATTAGGTCTTCTTTGTATTTCTTGTAGAATTCTGCAGTGAATCCATCTGGGCCTGGGCTCTTCTTGGTGGGTAAGGACTTAATTACATTTTCAATTTCATTAGCAGAGATTGGGTTATTCAACAGTTTTACATCCTCTTGATCTAGCTTTGGCACTTCATATGCTTCTAAGAATCTGTCTATTTCTTCTGTGTTATCAAACTTTTGAGAGTAGAGGTTTTCGAAATAGGTGTTGATGATCTTCTGTATTTCTATTGGGTCTATAGTGATTTCTCCTTTTTCATTTCTTATTGCATGAATTTGAGCTTTTTCTTCCCTTTTTTTAATAAGGTTGGCTAGGGGCTTATCGATTTTATTTATTCTTTCAAAGAACCAACTCTTTGATTCGTTGATTCTTTGGATTATTTTCTTAGTCTCTATTGCATTGATTTCTGCTCTGATTTTTATAATTTGAGGGAGGAAATTTCTAATGAATTAGAGAAAATGCCAAATGGTTTTTAAAAATTCTACAGGCTTTCTTTTGTTTTGGGAATTTTTCCCCTATTCCTTCAATGGCATTTCATGAGAGAAGTTTGAAAGAGAAAAAGAAGTAGCCTTGGCTTTGCTTCTGAGTCCCTGCCTGTATCTCTAGCTGCAGGGCTCTGATCAGGGTGAGCCCTGCCCTCTCTTTCACCCTTCAGGCAGAATGAGAAAAGGAGACCAGACCTCGCTGGGAACTTAAAGTCCGTTGGCGGGGTGTCCTGTGCTCCCTGAGAGGTAGGCTTAGTCCTGCTGGGCAGGACATGTTAAAGCTAAAACTGCTGCTAGAGATCACCTTGAGGCTTCCAAAGTCTGTATCTTGAAGTCTGGAACACTGTTCAGACATGATAAAATGTGACAGTAATGAGGGAAGATCGATAATACAGCTGCTGTGTGAGCCAGAAGCCTAAACACTCCCACCGGGCTCTTCTGCAGCTCTCCCTTCCCTGGCCCCCTGGGGTGAGGATTGTGGGCAGCCTGAAAGCCCCTCTGCCCTGATGTTATCCGGTCCAGTCTCCCTCTTGTACTGAATGCAGGAAATGAGGCCAGGTAGAAGCAGTGGTATGTCCAGTGTCATACATGGCATCTGATTAAAGTAGTTCTGCTGATTCACCCTTAAAATAATCAGCTGTCTAACAAGGAGATCACCAGTATATGTAGGAAAAAACTAAAAGGCAAGTAACAGTGTAACAATTATTAAGAGAAGTAAGACCTTCCCCAGGTATATTAGAATGTTAGCACACAAACTTACTTTCCCAGTAACAGGAAATCTACTACAGAGTTATGACTTAGGAAATAGCATTTCCTTCTATTCTTTAAATTGGGAGAGTTTCAGACATACAGAGAATAATGTGAAATACCATGGACACCTGTTTTCTTTATCCATCCATCTTTCTATCTGTAAATTTTAGTCTCATTCTTGTTTATCCTCCTTCTCAGAAGAGACATACCCATGAATATAGGCTGTATCCATAGTGTCCAACAAATATATTCTTTTAGCCATGAAAATAACTATCAAACTATTAATTAAAATTAAGTGGATTTTAGCATAGCTGTTGATATGCCTGCTGTAAGATAACAAAAAACTTTATTTGCTGAGAGATTCAGTTTTAGCAACTTCAAGTCAGATTTCTTTCTTTTGGGGGGGGGTATCAGGGATCAAACTCATGACCTCACATTTGCCAGGCAGGTGCTTACACTGCTGAGCTAAATCCCCAGCCCCTAAATCAGACATTCCTTGAAATTTTTGGAAGTAATTCATACTACAAACTATACTATGGTTTATTATTTTATTCTTTGGATCTGCATACAGAGCGTGACAGGCTCACACTTACCCAGCTTCTTGAGCTTTGGTTATTTGGTCAATGGAGAAAACAGGAAAGACCACTAATGTCAGACATGATAAAAGCAGACACGATGGCAGAGGACAATCACCCTGTTATAACCTAGGACGCAAAAGCCCATAGGACCCTGGGTAGAGAAGAGTTAAATTATACTGGGCAGGCAAACACACAATGTGTTACACAAAGATTTTCATCAACAGTAGTTGAGATACTTAAAAGATCTCTACCGCTCTAGAGCTCTTGGGGTCACATGGTCCAGTTTTGTATACTGGCTCTGTCACTTCCTCATTGGATGACTCCACCTCACTGCATTCAGCTCCTCCTGGTGACATCGAATGATGCTAGTACCTACTGCACAGAGCTGTGAGGACACTGGGAACAGTGCCTGGTATGCAGTAAACTCTCACTGCTGCTGGTGATAGTAACAGTGGTTCTGGCAGTGACAGAAGTGGCAGCAGTATTTGGAGGACAAGCCCATGGGGAAGAGGTCATAACTGGTTTGTGGCGAGAGTGCTAACTCTGGAGCCTTGCTGTGTCTGCAGATCACTGAAGCCCTTCACCATCTGGGTGGGCCTGAGGGTAGTCACAGCATAGAAGTCCTCGGGTTTCCATGAGGGTCCCATGGGTGTGGCAGGTGCTCGATGACACTCACAAGGACACACTCAATCAGCATCAGCAGTTAGAAATATTCCAAATCAAGAATGCTGGATTCAGGACTGGGGATTTAGCTCAGTGGCATAAGAGCCTGCTTGGCAAGCACAAGGTCATGAGTTCGGTCCTAGTTCCACACACAAAAAAATTCCACATAAGAATGCTGGGTTCTTCAAACACATTCTGTTTTGGAAGTGCAAGCTCGAGAGTTTCCTCATGGTGAGAAGTCAGGGGATCTGGGGGAAGGCTCTGATTGTGCGATGAGTTTACGTCTAGGTTCAGAGGGATTATCTGCAGCTCTATGAAATACGGTCCTGTCTAGTCACAGTTCTGCAGAGGAAAAAGGAGGCCCAAAGATGGGCTCCTTCTCCTTGAGAAGAGGCAGCTCAGCTTCCTCTGACATTCTTACCAATAAGCTCACTGGGGAAACTGAAAGAATCTTGCCCTAGGCCGGACACTAAGGCTGGTAAAGCCTTGGAGGTGGAACCAAGGGCTCTATCTTGAGGTCATCTTCCCCGCCCCTAGGAATTTACCTGTGGCGTGAAATGAATACCAATGGGCTACCTGTGCATCACTCATGCCCCTTAGGCACCACCCCAAACCTAAGCTACCTGCGTGCCCCCACTCCATGTGTCAGATGGAGAGAATGCCAGCCCCCGGAGACAATGCCAGACCCCAGAGGGTTGGAGGATCTCTCCCCACATTCTTAAAGGTCATTTATATTTCATACTTCTTGTTTTTTCAGCCGCGCCAAAATTCTGTCAGAAACAAGGTCTAGAACAGTGGTGGCAAACCTATGGCACACTTGTTACTTGCTTTTCTTTGAAGTCAAAAGATGTTAATGTGTAACTGTTTTCTTCTAACCTAAAACCTCAGGATTCAGCTCTATGTGCAGCATTGGCAATCTGTGATACAGAAGTGTTTTTGGAGTTGCAGTTTGGGCACTTGTGTCTAAACAGTTTGGCATCACTGGCATAGAAGATGGTCTGAAAAATAGGCAATGTTCAAACCCAACCTGAGCAAAACTAAAAAACCCAACCTGAGTAAAATAAAAAAATATAGGGCTGGGGATGCAGCCTAGGGTAAAGGCCACAGGTTCAATCCCTGATACTGGAAAAAAAAATGTGAAGGAGCCATGCATTATGATAAAAATGCTTTCTACTTGCAAAGCACTTCCACACACAGGAACGCATCTGGTCCTTGCAGCAACCCTGTGAGAAAGGAAGTGTCATCTCCATCTGCTGGGGAAAAGTGAGGCCAAGAGGACTGAAGCGACTTCCAAAGAGAGTTACTACTGAGAGGAGAATCAGGCACATTCCCTGTTCAAGTTTGGGCATTTTATCCATGCATGGCCCCGTGGAATTTCTTATTTGGACGTATTTGCCGTATTGTTGAAAGTATTTCATTTTTCCCCATTTTTGGGTTACCTTGGTTGTTGCGGTCAATTTAACTCTGAATCCCACACCTTGACCTACCATATCATACATGCAGCATATATGTGTGCATGCACACACATGTCTGTGTCCATGTACACATGTGTACACATGTAAGCAATGCTGGGGGACAACTGAGTTTAATACCTGATTTCCCTTTAAGTGTACTTTGAAATGAGGGTGATGTAATTCAGTCAAATTCAAAGGACACTCAATTATTTGTTTGGACCGAAAACTGAAAAGTGATTCAGTCCCAACAGAGAGCAAAAAACAAATTAAAACAAAAAGAGTTTTTCACTTTATACCATGGCTTTTTCTGAAAACATGGCCTGATTGTTTTACAAGGGAAGCACAGAACTCTGGTTGCCGTGTTTAGCTGTCAAGTGGCCTCCCATACTTTTGCCCTGCAGCAAAAAGAAGGGACATCAGGTGACAGACCCCAGGTTTCAACTAGTCACACAAATTACAGACCTTCCCTTCGTGTTGTCCTCTTGACCTTCTGCCTCTCCCCTACAAAGAGAATGAGACGTAGTTTAAATCACAATGACTTTCCTGGGCAATTTTACAAAACAAATAGAAGGCTCAGCCTCCCCAGCCCTGCGGCTGCTTCCCCCGCTGTGCCGGCCTGTCCCCTCTTTGTAGGGAGGCAGAGAGCTAATAATTAGACGTTTCCCACCCCAGACCAGGATATTCTGCCTCCCCAGCCCTGTTAGCTTTGAGGAAAGAGTTTGACGAAGTAAATATGTGCAAAACGACTGTAATCAGATGCCAGACTGCACTTGTAGGGAAACGCAGGAGAAGCGTCTACAGGACAGGGTTCACCGCACGATACCGCAGTGCCTGGTGCAGAGCCAGCTCTAAAGCCTGTGCTGCCTTCGGCATGAGGCTATGCACCTTTCTCTTGGCCTTTTAATTCCATGCCTTCTTTCCACAAAGTTTAAGAACAATCACATTGACCACCAAAGAGAGAATTCAGAAATGATGCACCAGTGGGAGGCGGGGGGGGGGGGGGTCTTTTAACTATTACTGCTTCACAAAGCTTTGTGAGGTCAGCAGCGGAAACCAAAGCTGGGGCTAATTTACCTTCAGGAGACAGGTAATTTCTTACAAGTTTATTTGTTTGTTTTTAGGCTAAAACTCTGTTGTTTGTATTACCTGTAGATTTTTCTCTGGAAAACTGGGGTTGAGTGCTTGCACAGGGTGAGAACCAAAACGTGTGCCTCGGCCTGTTCCCATTATGCACGTTAGCCTGTGGCCTCCCCACAGCCTGCTAAACAGCTGAATTTCAAACAGTCACGGTGCCAGCCAAACACTGGCCTGAGGGCCTGTCTATCTTGAGATTAGGCCATTTACATTGATTTTGTTTTTTAACCCACATTTTTCCTCAAACACAAATATTTGCCATGGCAACTTGAGGTGTCACGTGCCCTACTGCTACATAAACAGCCTGGACAGCTCTTGAGGGGCCGGCCACAGCCCACCAGGGTTGAAAACACAGTGGGAAAAAAAAAGAAAACAGTGACAATCTAGGAAGAGCTGGGCACTGAAGATGAAGGGTAAGAACAGGTACTGTAGTGGAGACACACAGGGATTGATTTCTTAGGTGCCACTTTGCAACTTCTCCTCTCCCCTCCCTCCCCTCCCTCCCGTCCCCTCCCCTCCCTCCCCTCCCCTCTTCTTTTCTTTTCTTTTTAAATGGCCACAGCTGAAAACAGGACCATGTGGGTAAGCCAGAAGCCGCACCACTAGCTGTCTCCTTTCTAGTGAAAAGTTTCAATTATTGCAAGCAAGTCTGTGATCCATAAGCAGAAAAACCAAGCTACAAGTCCAGCGCCTTTCAAGTGGGGGACATCTTTCTAAGGATAAGTCACAGTGTCCTCTTTGTACTAATATTGAAGAATGCACAACTACTTCCTTTTCCTCATGAAGATTTTCTGTGTAAAGTTGGAGGCCTTGCCATTTTACCCCATGCTTAAACACAAAGGAGATACTGAACAGTAAAACCTCACACAGCAAGACCTAGTGGATCCCAGACTCCTGACCAGCTGGCAATGTATGCCCACTCAGTCACTTCGCTTCTCACAATAGTGCAACAAGACCAAGTGTTTTAGACTCCGCGGATAGTGTTGTGATAGCCTGGTCTTGTACAGGAACCCCCACTTTTAAAGTCAGGGGTTGGGGATGTAGCTAGATCCCTAGCTCTACAAAGAAAGAAAGAAATTACACAGATGTGAATATTACCAAAATTTTCACAGATGACATTGTAAATAAAAACAACTTTCTTTCTGCAATTGCAAATATGAATACCTTTGATTTTTGTTTCTCAGGCGTCACTTCTTGAGCTGGAGCCAGCACTGGTTTCTCAGGTACAGTGATGGGCACTGTGGAAAGAGGAGCAGCATCACCTCTCTGGAAAGAGGGGCTGAGGCATGGGGTGGATCTGGAAAATCAGACGGCCCTGCACCCACTGCCCCCGGCCACCAATCATTCCTGCCTCCACCAGGGGCGATAGCTGTGAACCCTGACAGCCGGTACATGGTGGCCGATTCCCTGAGTCAGTCCACCTCACGCAAACTGGACGCAAAGCAGTGGTCAGAAGCAGGCAAGTTAGAGTAACCTTTGTCTTCCAATGTCTCACCAGGAGATTCCTTCAACAGCCAGATGCCCAAGTTCACATACACATTACTTAGGATGGGCCATCCCACTGTGTACTCTAAAAAATTGAAGTGAAACAAGGGAATAGCCCATAAAAATTATTTCCGAAATTAATTAAATCTCTGAGCAACATATTTTGGCGAACATATTGAGTCTGTAGGGGGCCAGACCTTCATGCTAAGTAAGTTTCTCAATCCATCTCTCCTTTTGCCTGGCAGCAAATTCAACTGCTCTTTACCAACAGCCCAAGCCTGACACTCTCAGGGGAGAAAAATCCTTACATTTCTTACCCTAAGAAAGAGAACCGGGCTGGGATTTAGCTCAGTGGCTCAGTGCCTCCCTGAAGTGTGAGGTCCTGAGTTTGATTCCCTGTACCCCTGAGGCCCCCCTAAAAAGAAAGAATAATTTATTTAAATGCTTAAATGAATAAAATAAGTGAGGCTTCTTTTATCTTAGTTCCTTCAACTCAGCCCCTTTCTGTCAGTTCTTTGACAACAAACTTTGAAAGAATTGACAGATACCAATCAAAACAGCATGCTAGTAAAGTATATCAATATATAATTTAGAATCCCACTACAAAAATATTCCTTACCTCTAGTAGACTACAGGGAATATTTTCAGCCATCTTTGAAAAAAATAGCAAGAATTCCAGAGCCCTGAAATGCGCTTCTGCACGAGGGATTTGTCTGCTGGTGTGACCCAGTCTCTCCCCTCTCTGGTTTCTCTAGTGCAACTCTCTGCAACATGTATTCCCTGGGCAGGGCACCTTGGTGTGTGCGGAACCCATTGAGCCCGACACATTTTTGCCTTGACTAATGTGCTTTCCTTTCCTGTTGTGCTTTTTGTAGGGTACACCCACCTTTGAGCCTTTAATCCGCACACTCACCAGTAACACCTCTTACTCTTAACACCTGCCAACTTGTACACTTGTTGTTTAACTTTCAGGTTTCTGCAGATAAGTAGGCTTTATGGCGAGATTCTCGTGTTGAAACAAAAATAGCAATTGGCAAGTTTTCAAATTTTAAAGATTTTAATAAGATTTTATTTATTTATTTTATTATTCCTTTTTTTTTTTTTGGACTGGGGATCAAACTCATGATCTTGCGCTCACCAGGCAGGTGCTTATGCTGTTGAGCTAAATCCCCAGCCTGATAGGATTATTTCCAGAAGATGAAAAATATTTCCAAAAGATGAGGAGTATAAACAAAAGAGGCCTTTATTCTGGGAACACGGAGAGGACTGGCGCACTGGCCTGGCTGCTGCAATCTGGCGATCTCTCTCACCCCGACACGTGGCGTGGGGGAATATAAGTAGCCTAAGTTTAGGGCAGTGCCCTAAGGCCATTAGAGATGCACAGGTATTTCATTGGCACACGTTTGGCGCCAGGGGCAGGTTCCGAAGGGTGGGGGGGTTAGGGTTACAGGTAAATCTCTAGGGCCGGGGGAGGCAGGAGCTCCCTAATTCTGGCTGAGGCTTTTCTGGCTACAGTGTCGGTCTGGGTCAGCAACCCTTTCACAGCCCTTTAGTAAAATTATGATAATATCTGGTAAGATAAAGACCACAGAGATTTATCATGTCATCCGGACAATTCACACTTACTGGTGTCTCTAAAAATTATCTTAGTTACCTGCAGAAATGCTGTCACTGAATTATAGCTTTATGTAGTCTTGGTTTTATGGGACATATGCACTTGGAGACTATGTTTTAGCATAGTCATTTTTAACAAAACCATATCCTATATTTAGTTTGGTACTTAACTGCTCTTGTGAGAAAAGTTTTCTGATGAAGTTTACCACAAGTAATTTTTCGGAGGGAATAAACTCATGTCTTTCTAGACGATCTTGTATGCTTCTGTGGTAATTATTGACAATTAGACTAGCAAGTAACCATCCCTCTTCTCTAGAAATTCTAGAAATTTTTCCGTGTGATAATATATCCAGTGAGTAGGGTTGTCAGGTTTAGCAAAAGAAAAAGGACACACAGTTAAATTTTAATTTCAGATAAACAATAAATAATTTTAGCATACCTCAGATATTAAGTATATTTATCCATCAAAGGTCAGAATTTTCATGAATGATTTAGACTAAGCATAACTCATCATACTACATATTTAGTATAAATATGCCCCTAATCTTAATGCTAACTCTAACTCTGTCCCTAGTTGTGAAGGTTAATCCTGACCTGTTTGATGGACTTGAATATGCCTAGGCGATTAGGAAAGCATACTTCCGGGTATGTCTGGATAGGTCGTGGAGGTGTGACCTGGGGACTCATCTGTTACTGTCCCCTTCCTCCCTGGGGCTCCAGCCCTACTCTGTTTCCCAGACGTCATGGGTTAAGCAGTCTCCCTCCGCCACTCACCACTTGGTGATAGCGCGGTATTTCTGCCCTGAGGTCGGCGGGCAGTGGCCTGAGACCTCTGAAACAGAGCTGAAGTACATCTCGCCTCCAGTAAGTCGCCAGTGTCGGATATCTGGCCCTAGCAACAAGAAAGCTAACCATAACCTGGAGATTCACTTCTTTCCTTATACCTAAGAGTGAGATTTAAGAGCATATAATCAATATAGCTTCTGGGTAGAGACTAATAGCAATATTTTCCCTTTCTCCTTGCCTGAAACTTTTGTAAGGCCCAGATCTGCAGAAGACGGCTTATACCATGAGGCAGCTAATAGCAGCATGGGACTCAGTTTCCCCCCGGTGTCATGGTTTTAGGAGGTGGGCACAGAGTGGAACACAGCTTTGAGACACTGGTGGTCACACACCAACAAGCATCAAGAAGTTCTGGAAATCATGGCCTCACCAAAAGCTGAAAATTAAGTGCCGAAACTGACCAGATGATAACCAGTAAAGGAGAACTCTCACAGAATTTAAAACTGTCATTTTAAGGAAGCTCATTGGGCTTGAAGAAAACACAGACATGTTTCACTACTCTTATAGAAACTTAGAGATGGAAACAATTTTTAAAAATGAGGAAGAAACTGTCCCTCAGACAAAGAACTTCTAGAATATACAAAGTATTGAAAAAAATCAGCCCCCAAATTCAAAGATCCAATCCAAAAATAGCATCTGAGATACACATACTTCTCAAGTGAAGAAATATAAATAGTAAATAAATACATGAAAAAGATGTTCAACATCATTGGTCATTAAAGAAATGCAAATTAAAACAACACTGAGATTCCATTTCACCCCAGAAAGAATGGCTATTATCAAGAAATCAACAAATAACAAATGCTGGAGGGGCTACCCTTCTCCACCGTTGGTGGGAGTATAGACTAGTACACTCCCTGTGTACTAGTGAATATCAGGGATATCAAAAAGCTAGGACTAGGGCCAAGAATTTAGCTCAGCGGCATAAGTGCCTGCCTTGCAAGTATGCGGTTGTGAGTTCAATCCCTGGTACCAACAAGAAAAGCTAAGATTTGAGCTAGGTCCATTTGACCTAGCTATTTCCCCTCTGGGTATTTTCCCAGAAGAATTAAAAACCATGCCACAGTGAAATACGTGTACTCATGTTTTTTTTTAATTGATAACACAATTTGATTTTTGTTTTTATTTTTTAATTTAAAAAAAATTTTTAAAATGATGCAAAATTTTGAAACAAAATAATAGAAAATTAACACTAGTTAATATGTTGCATGTTGTTATCTTTAAAGCAGTTGAAATTCTATATCTTTGTTTTTATTGTTTTCCTCTTTAAAATAAAAAAAAAAATCAGGCAGAATTCATGAGCTGAAAAGTACATTTGGTGAAATTAGAAAGACAGATGACATCAGTATCAGAATAGATCAAACAAAAATCATAGGCTATTTGAAAAAACACAGTTTGAGGAAAAAAGGAATGGAGAATGAAGAAAACATAAGGAAACTTTGAGACAGTATTAAATGGGGAAACAACCAAATTCAAGGAAGAAAGGGTTCAAGAAAGAAGGAATAGGAGCTCAAGGACCTGTGTGGAAGTATAACAAAAGATGTGGCATTTGTGTCCTTGGAGAAGAGACATTAGGCAAGACTTTAAAAAGTACTCCCCTACAGATGAAATCTTCCCTAATTTGGCAAAATATAAATCTGCAGATTTACGACAATGAGCCAAACAGGATAAAACCAAAGAAATCTGGATCAAGACTCACCATAACCGAACATCTAAACACTGCAGGGCAAAGTGTCAAACACAGCAAAAGAGCAGCACTGTGCCTACACTGAGTCAAATGCCAGTGGCAGTGGGTTTGTTATTGGAAAACATGGCTACCGAAAAAGAAGAGCCCAGCTTGTGTTCAAATGTGAGAAAGAGCCATCAACCCAGAATACCTGTAATCAAAGAAAATATCCTGCAGAAAGGGAGCAATAAGGTAATTTGTCATTAATATACTGACTAAAAGAATGGATACAAAATGGAAGTAGGACAGAATGAAAGTTGAAGACATTGTGTAATTCCTTCATGTGTGTGTGTGTGTAATTTCTTCTTTAGCCTACAAAATGTGATAAAATGTGATATTTAAATCTTTAAAAATTCATTGCAGTAAAATATGCATTGCCATTGATTCTCCTCCAAAGATCCCCTTCACTTTCAGCACACTTACCCTTCTGAAACATTCCAGCAGTCCCTTGCATGTCTTTAGCTGTAGTGTCAGGCTCCTTGTCCTGAACTGGTTCAAAACATTTACCTTGCATGGCTGTTGTGACTTTGGGAAGACCCAGAAGTTACACAGTGTGCAGATCTGGTGAATAAAGTAGATGAGGACCCCGAAGGGTTTTTGAGAACTGCCTTTCTGTTGGATGGCACTCATCATGTTTTCTAATCAGACCTCTTAAATACATCCACAGAAGAGGACTTCCAGAGCTGCTCCAGAGAGTGCCAAGAATGGATGGCATATGTATGTATATTCAAAGTGAGGAGGAGTATTCTGAGGAGAATTCATGGCAATGTGTGTGGGGTTTTTTATTGTAATAAATTTTAAAATGTAAACATTCACTGATCATTCCTTGTATATATATGACCCCTCTTGGCTTCTCCAGCCTGATCCGCAGGGCCTGTCCTAGTCTATGTGTAGAGTATTCTTCCCTAGATGTTTGCGTGGCTTATCCCTCCCCTGTGATCATTTAGATTTTAGTGTACGCCTTCTGTGTTTTCTGCGAGACATCTCCTGACACTGCCTTCACAAGCAAGAAGCCCCTATGTCTCGCCTTCTAACTCATTTTGTTTTATTTCTGGTCCCTGTCATCATCCCTCTGAGCTCTTATTACAGCACTAGATGTTAATGCCCATTTGGTTTTTATTCTATTCTATTTTGGATTTATATTTATATATCTTCATTGCATCTGTCTTTATTCCCAACCAAACTGCATATACCTCGAACATACGTGCCAAGAAAGCACATACAGAGAATGTGTCCTCCAAACGTGCTTTACATCAAGATGGCTCGCGTTATTTATCCACAAAAGTAAAAGTCGGGATGTTGGCACCTCTTGTCTTGTCCAGGTGTCAAGGATAAAAACTGGCTCTGCAAAAGCTGGGGAGAGGCAAGCATTGTGTAACTCCAGCTAAGCATACAGCAGGGTCTTACTTGTAGGTGCAATCTTATGTGCTTCGTTGAAACTGTGCAGAGGAGCTGCCCTGGGCGTAATGGGTGGATTCTGAAAGGTAATCCTGGCCGTTGGGGGAATCAGTCCCCGCTCCATCATACTTAAAATTCCTAAAAAGTAAGGTTAACAGAATATGAGTTTAACTCAAGCAATATTACAAAGTCTGAGCTCCATAAATTTGACAAGTGTAACTTACTCCGTCCATCATCTCATTTGTGAGGGTGCATTGCGTACCTTCATTTTTTGCATGAAAAGCCAGCAACAGTACACGTTCATTTAAGCTTAATATTCTAACCCAGGGGAAAATGTCATTTCCAATAGCAGTAATATGAAATAAAATTGCACTAAGGTAATTTCATTTTAAGGTAGAAATATAATTTCAAGGCAAACTAAAACTTCTTTGTTTGTATGACATTTTCAATCATTGGTAATATTGTTACTCTTTTTAAAATTCAGGGAAATCAGGAACACATTCTTAATGACTAAGGTGAGCCTTTGTTCTGAAAGAAAATGTGTGTGCTTCAAACCATGCCCTGTGGTTATAATCAGTCATACTTTATAAAAGGAGTTATCATTAGCCATTTAGCATATCACCTGAAGATATGAATAGGTTATCGTAGTGTAACTGAGCAACATTATATTAATACAACTAATTTATAATTCCTAGAACTCAGACTGTATCACGAAGGCTGAAATCAAGCCTTTTTACAAATAACAGACTTTGTTAAATAAGTAAACAAATGAATAATTAAACAAAGTCAGTGGTTAAAGGCAGAACTTTCACTAGGGTATTGTATTAAAGCCAGAACTCAAAAACTTGAGATCTATTTAAAATGAACTTGTAGTACTTCAATTTCTGGTTTCTCTTTTATATAAGAAAAATAAAGAACTCTGAATCTCTACAAATTCTTGGCATATAAACTTTGCACCACGCTTTACTATGTTGAAAAAGTTAGCACACATTCTAAGAGGAGCTGATAATTACTCCATTCCAATGTAAGACCTCTATTACATTGCTTTTAAACTATTATAGTGTTAGGGGATGTCTCTGACATTGTCACAGAAGGGTTAGGGTGCTGAAGTGGACTTTTCTTATGAAACAAGTGTTTCAAAGAGAAATCTCCAGAAATCTTCAATAGAATCATTTGGAGGAAAATTTTATTGAAAATGGAGATTCCTAGCCCCTACTCCAGATCTGTCCAAAGACCGAGGTCATGGCCTAGAACTCTACATTATTGAAACCTCCAAGTGATTCTTAGATGCATGATAGTTCAAGTACCAACAGAAATGGGGCTGAGGGACATTGTGTTAAGTAAGCCTGAAGGATCTCTTAAAGTGTAAGAACTACTGATGGAGAGTACAACTTTTTAAACCTTTTTGAAATTAGCACTTCAAAATGTTCTATGTTTATAACACAAGAATTGACTGAACTATGAATTTAAGATAGACTAATTTTTTATTTTCATAAATATTTTTCATTGTTAAAATCAGATCTCTGCATGAGAATTATGCTTGTTTTGTAAATGTGAGAAAAAAGTTTCTTATAGTTCAGTATATTTTCAAGAGTCAGTTTCATTCTCTGACAATTCTAAAGAACATGAGTATGCTTTTTTTTTTTTTAAAGGTGGAAAGGCTGATTTTATTCAGTAGTGCAGTTAAGGTAGAGAGACCTCAGTGTAAACTGAGCTGAGCTCATCAAACATAAGGTCTTTAATTTTTCTTTTTTTTTTTTTAATTTTAAGGAGAAAAAAGAAAAAAAAAACAGAAAAAGGGTACAGTTTGTACAGAATTTCAGAAAAAATAGACAGTAGGAAATCATTAGTTAATAGATTACATATTGTCTTAGAAATAGTTGTTCAAGTTACAAAATTAAAGCATATAGAGTGGACATTCAAACAGTGAGACTGCAAACAGTTCTGTTCAATGATCCAATAAAACTCAGTAATATGGTTACCTATCTTATACACTTAAATATACATGCAGTTATGTCCTTTAGAGCACTTTCTTTTCCTCTCTTTTGTACAATGACAATTACACATTTTGGGTTTTATTACTCCCACTGTTCTTATTACTTTTTTTCATGAGTATGCTTTTAATCCTTGCTTCTGTGCTAATGGAAGCAACTCAATTTTAGTGCACACATTTATCATTGGAAGGAAAAAGTTAAGCCTTGGAAATAAATAAGAGAGATTTCTTTTTTTAATCCAGACACTGGAAACTGAAGCTTATCTGACCCTACAAGGTTCTGAACCTTTGTTTTTATTGTTTATTTTATTACCTGTAAAGATAAAATTTATGTAAAGGTATGAGAGCAATGCAAATAATTCTTATCTGCATACGTGCAAATAAATGCTATAACATGGAGAATAATTCTTCCTGTGCAATGCCAGTTTTTCATCTTTCTGCAAATTTATTTCAATAGTCTTGATTTGTAAATATGTCTTGTTTAGGTTCTTCTTAGAAATGATGGTAACATCTTACTAGTTCCTTCATTTAATTAGTGAGCTAAAGATAGTCTTTGACGTGTTCATTTTATATTTGTGTAAGAGTCATGACTCTATGATTTTTATTTATTTTTTTTATATTGGGGATCAAACTTGCAACTTTGTGCTTGCCAGGCCATTTCTGTGTCACTGAGCTATATCCCTGGCCCAGGTTTATGATTTTTAAAATATCATCCTCAGCAGTTTGGAGAACCCACTGAGATAAACAGGAGTCACCTGAGATTCTCAGAAACGGTGAACATCACAGACTTGAGCCCAGGGCTGTTTTTCCTTGGCTCCCACAGGTAAACTGAAAATGACAATAGAACTTTGTTGATGTTTGTTTCTTTTGTGTTTGTTTGTTTAATTTTAATTCTACTCTCTATTAACTTCCTTTTCTTTTTAATTCATTTATGAATGACAAGTTATTTCCTGTTGGGAACTGCAATGATTGGGAATTTGGTAATCTCTGTAAATGGATTAAGGTTTTACAGAGATCTATTTCCTGCTGGGTGAAAGATAATACAGAATATAGTTTGTTAGTCTTTATCTATTTTGAGTTCAAATCCATTAGGAATTTCATGCCCGCAAGGAAGGAGGGCAACTGCTATCAGTACTGGCAAGCTTTTGTTTCCCTGTTTACTTTTCTTCTGTGGCTAAAATGGCAACATAGAGGGATTGCACATGCTCTGAGAGGTGTGTCTACCTACCAAGAATTCAGAGTTCTGCTGTGAGTATGGAATAGTTTCCTGTCTCATAAATCAGATAATAAGGCCTCTAAAAGGGGCTCCAGTCCAGCTGGCTTCTAGAGATAAATAAGAAAGTGGATAATCCTAAAATTCTCATAAAATAAGAAAATTGAACTTGTGATGCTTTACATGTGCTTCTTCACACTCCAAGCTCAGAAACTCTCAGTGAGGTGCCTTTTATGGCAACATGCTAATTTGCATAATTTCAACAATAGCCTCTTTTTTGGCACCAGGGATTAAACTCATGACCCTGTGCTTGCAGGCAGATGCTTATGCTGCTGAGCTAAATCCCCGGCCCCGATAATAACCTCTTTTCCTTTTACTAAGATATACCTGAAAAAGGTACTTATACAATTAAGGCTTGGCTGGAATTCATGTTTCATATTTAAGAATGAATCTTATTTTCTCAGGTATGAGGAGTTACTTTTACAGGACTAAGGTTGACTTTCTAGAGCCAGTATTTGCAAAGTCTTCCCAGAAAATCCAGCGTAGACTGTGGTAGGGAAACTCACACCCTGCAGGCCCAAGAACCTCAGGATACTTGGGGGACCTCTAACTAAAGGAAAAGACCCTAGTTTATAGGTCCTGCAGCTTAATTCTGGAGAAAAAAGGCTTTGGGGATTGTTTGGCCTAAGGATTTCAAGTAATAAATGATTTTGTTTTATTTTACCTTTTGTCTTTTTGGGGCAGGGTCTCCCTGTGCAGTTCAGGCTGGTCTTGAGCTCATTTTGTAGCCCAGGCTGGTCTTGAACTTGCAACAGCCCTCCTGCCTCAGTTCCCAAGAGCTGGAATTGCAGGTGTGAGCCACCACACCAGGCATAATAAATGATTTTAAAAGTTCAGTCTGAGATTCCTTATGAAAAGTTATAGGACAATAAGCTTAGGGGCTGGGGATTTAGCTCAGCGGCATAAGCACCTGCCTTGCAAGCAGGCAGTCGTGAGTTCGATCCCTGGTACCGATAAAAAGAAAAAAAGACCAAAAAAAAAAAAAAAAAAAAAAAAGCTTAAAGGTAGCCTGCATGGTAAATTATCATCTCTGCTGCACAATTGTCGATAATCAGGACAAGCCTAAGGTACTAGCCTTATTTTGTGAATAATTTTATTTGAGCAAAGAAATGATAAATTTTTAATTTTGTATGAGCAAAGAAATGATAAATAAATTTTTAAAAACAGTTTGGAATAATCGAAAGGGGTTCCTGGACACCTTTTCAGTGGACTGCTGAAGTGTCCAAGGATTATCTGGACATAGAGTTTGACTAGGATGTTTTACAACTCTATAGATATCACGATTAATTTGTAAAAGTGGGTAGTACTGCAAATAATTATCTATAGATGAGAAAATAAAATCTCTTTGATAAAGAAAATCCCTCCTCACAGAAAAGTCAATTTTGCATCTATTTGAAAATTTATTTTAATATTCTTGATCTAATGGGTCTATTCTTTGGCTCTCTTTTGAACCAATTGCCACATCTTTTTTTTTTCAATTGCCACATCTTAAAGATTTTTCTCCTTCAATTGATGAATTAAAATATTAACTATGTATTTCTTTTATATTTATATAAAAGTTATGATTTAAAAAATCATCATTAAACCCCCGGTTACCTGAAGTGCTCATAACACCCTTACCTTCCTGATTAGATTAGGAATTAGAAGTACATTCATCCTGTCAGTTACTCAGCCAGTACTTCTTAGGTGCCTATTATACATCCAGAACTACTCTGAGGACCGGGGATAAAGTGGTCAGACTGTGACCTCTCAGCCCAAGCTTCCTATACCCCCAGTGCGGTCCTCTCCTCCTCTCTCACCCACAGCAGCCTCTAATCCTTCCCTTAGTGTCTCCCCCTAGTCTCAAACCCCTCAATCCCCCCACTCGAGCCGTCTGATCCATTGGAAGGTTCTATGTCTCCTTCCCCTGCATCACCATTTTCTCCCCTGGCTCACCATATGTAGTCTCTGGTGTTCCAGCCTTCTGGTAGGCCACGTGGTTGTCAGCAGCCATCTTGCTGCAGCTCACGTGGAGGACAGCTGCCATTTTGCGGCCCTCCACCATCTTGTGACATGTCTCAGGGTCAATGGCCGCCTCCTTGTGGCCCCTTGTGTGATCAGCAGCAGCCGTCCTGCTGCGGGTCACATGATGACCAGCCGCCATCTTATGCTCCCTCACTGTGTTACCAGCAGCAGCGGTACCATGGTGAACCACCAATAGCCTGTGTTTCCTTGTTGCATGGTGATAAGTGGCCATTTATCCAATCATTGGGTAATTGCACACACATGCCTGCCAGATGGTTGTCTGCTTGGTGGCCATCTACTCCACAGCCTTCTCAGCCTCAGTCTTTGTTCCTGCTTCGGGAACAGGCTGGCCCTAAAGGATTAGTTAATATACATGTACCTTTCTCCCTCTCTGACTTACTTCAGATTAGCCATAAATTAGGCTGCTTCTCTCAACAGAATTATATTAGAGGATTTGTATTTATAACTAATTGTTATGATTTACATTTCAAGGATATTTATGTGATTCTGAACATGACCCTCAGCTCACAAGAGTGAGCTCAGCTGTGGCAAGCAGCTCCAGAAGAAGCCAATTGCAAATATAAGGCAAATACTGCCAAGAATGACCCTGGGCCTACTGCAGTGCCTGAACAGTATCCTAACTGGAGTTACCAAAATGGAGAAGGTTCTTATAAAATATATAAGATGATTGAATGTCTAATTGTGGGCCTTAGTAAAATTGTTCACAAACATATTAACTATAACAAATGTTTAGAACAGATCCAAGATGCTAATGAAAATCTGGCTGTGTTTAGCTTAGGGACACCTTAATTAAGTTTATGAATGTAAACTCAGACTCTCATGAAGGGATGATTGTTGTTAACTCTTATTTTATTTCTCAGTCTGCTCCTAATATTTGTGCAAAGTTACAAAAGGCTGAACATGGTCCTCAAACCCAACAAGGAGACCTTCTTAATACAGTTTTCTATGTTTTCAACAACAGAGAAAAAACTCAAAAAGAGGCACAAAAAAAAAAAAAAGAAATTTGCTAAATATCAATCTGATCCTTTAGCAGTGGCACTTGGAGCTCCCAACACAGGAAAGCCAAAACAAGGCAGAGCTGCCTGAGTCCCTCCCAGACCATGCTTCAAGTGCAACAAAGGACACTGGGTAAGAAAGTGCCCCAATCCTGACATTCTTCTGGGGCCTTGCCTCTATTGCAATCTCAAGGGCCACTGGAAGAGGGACTGTTCTAGCCACCAGAAAGCATGTAAGCCATCCTCTAACTCCTTTCCCTCACAGGAGATGCCATCACCACCAGATTCATCACTGCCTGATCTATTCAGGCTTGCTGCTGAAGATTGACAGAGCTCGGGGCCCACAGTCCCCATTAAGGTATCCTTCTCGGAGTCTCACTAGAGGTCTCAGGTAAGATACTATATGTACTTGTAGACATGGGGGTAACTTATAGTGCACTTCCTGAGTTTTGAGGCCCTTGTATTAAGTCCTCAATCTCTGTAGAGGGTGTTGACAGCCAACCTGTGCAGCCTTTGCAGAGTGGGCCTATTCCATGCAGGTTCCAGACTCTCTTCTTTACCCATAGCTTCCTAGTAATTCCAACATGTCCCACACCTTTTTTAGGTAGAGACCTCCTTCAAAAGCTTAACTTCTTCTTTACTTTCTCCCTCCCAACTGTAGTCCTCCAAACAGCCTCACAATGTACTGCAAAGTCATCCCCTCCCATTCCTTTTTCTCTGGTCAATCCCATAGTTTGGGATACTTCCAATCCCACCCATGCTTCCCATGCCATGCCTATTTTAATTCATCTCAGGGATCCTTCCATTTTTCTTTGCATTCCCCAGTATCCCATAGCTCCCAAATATTTACAGGGGCTTAAACCTATAATTAAGCACCTTTTAGACAATGGTTTTCTTAAACCTACCCATCCATCCTATAATACTCCCATTCTCCTGGTACTCAGGGCTGATGGGTTTTATCATCTAGTGCAGGACCTTAGGGTAATCAATAGTGCTGTTACCCCAGTCCACACAGTAGTGCGAAACCCTTATACCATGCTTTGATATCCACCACTCACTTTATAGTTGTAGATCTTAAAGATGCCTTTTTTACCATCCCCCTAGACCCCAATTGTCAGAGTTTCTTTACATTTACATGGAGTGATCCAGACACTCTCAGGTCTCAACAACTTACCTGGACAGTGCTCCCCCAAGATTTCAGAGACTGTCCTCACTTCTTTAGCCAAGCTCTTGCTGCTGACCTTGCAGAACTTGATCTCAAACCTAGCACTCTCCCTCAATACACAGATGACCTTCTCTTATGTTTTCCATCCCATATGTTAGCCATGCAGCATTCAGCTAGTTTCCTTAATTTTCTTGCCAGTCATGGATACAGGGTCTCTCCTGCTAAACCCCAAATAGCTTCCCCAAAAGTCAAATATCTAGTTCTCTCTCTCATCCCTACCACTCATTCCCTCACTACAGATCATAAGATCAAGATCTCCAGGTGCCCACAACTAAACAACAGGTTACATCTTTTCCTAGGTTTAGTTAATTTCTTTTGTCTCTGTATTCCTAACTTTGCAGCTCTATTCCAACACTTCTACAAAGCTTCTAAGGGCCCCTTATCAGAACCCCTAGACCCCACTATGCCCATACATGCCTCCTTTCATAAATTAAAAGAGGCTCTCCCAAGGGCTCCAGCCCTTGCCCTTCCTGACCCCACCCAACCTTTCACTCTATAGCTACCTCTCAAGGCCACAAAGCTGTAGGTATACTAGGATACAAGAAGGGACCTTCTTTTCAAGCAGTAGCCTTCTTGTCAAAGCAGTTAGACAACACAGTAAAGGGATGGGCACCTTGTCTCCGAGACCTTGAGACCACAGCCCTACTGACACAGGAAGCTAAGAAGTTTACATTAGGGCAGTCTATTACAGTACACTCACCTCATCATCTAAATGAACTCATCTCACAGAAGGCACTCCCTGCCCTGATGACCCCTTCTCGCCTTCAACAGATACACCTAGCCTCTCTCAGGACCCTTGTATCTCCATAGCAACTAGTGGTCCTCTTAATGTGGCAACTTTATTTCCCACCTCAGAGGGCTATCCTTGCCATGACTGTATTGAGGTTTACAGATGACTCCCACCTCTTTCTCTCACATTAGTAGCATACCTCTCTCTTTAGCCTTTTTTTTTTTTTTGGTCTTTTTCATTTTTATCAGTACCAGGGATCGAACTCACGACCGCCTGCTTGCAAGGCAGGTGCTTATGCCACTGAGCGAAATCCCCAGCCCTCTCTTTAGCCTTTGACACATGGTTCATAGATGGCAGTTCAGCAAATACAGCCAAAAAAGGGCAGGATATGCAATAGTTAACCAGTCAAAGGTTATAGAGGCTAATCCACTGCCACATGGGACATATTCCCAGAGGGCAGAACTTATTGCCCTTACGAGGTCTCTTACACTAGCAAAGGACAAAGTCATAAATATATACACTGATTCAAAGTATACATTTAGCATTTTATACTCCCATGCCTCTATCTGGCAAGAAAGGAGTTTTATCAACTCTCAGGGAACCCCTATCATTAATACACCTCTTATCCTTAAACTTCTAGAGGCAGCACTACTCCCAAAGCAGGCAGCAGTTGTTCATTGTAGGGGACACCAGAATTCTTTTTTTTTTTTTTTTTATCGGTACCGGGGATCGAACTCAAGACCACCTGCTTGCAAGGCAGGTGCTTATGCCAGTGAGCTAAATCCCCAGCCGGGACACCAGAATTCTGCAGATCCCACTGCTCAAAGCAATGCCTTTGCAGATTCATAAGCTGAAAGGGTTTTGGCCCAGACAGGACCCTGTAGCCAGGAAAGCCTCAACCGGAAGCAGGAAGCCCCTATTTCCCCCACCCCTAGGAAGTTACCTGTGACGCCATCTTCCCGCCCCTGGAAATTTACATATGGCGCCAAACCTAGGACCAATGGGCTACCTGTACATCCCTAATGCCCGCCTTAGGTTCCACCCGAAACCAAGGCTATTTACATACCCACATGCCACGTGTCCGCTGGAGAGATCACCGGACGCCAGCAGTGGGGGTGCGGGTCATCTCTCCCCGTGTTCTCAGAATAAAGGCCGCTTTTTATTTTATACTTCTCATCTTTTGGAAATATTTTTCATCTTTTGGAAATAATCCTAGCACAAGCCAAGTTAGCTGCACAAAGGCCCTATCCTTCTCATCTTCTCCGTTAGTCCCAAGCAGTCTACCTCAACCTAATTATTCACCAGAGGAGCTATGGTTATTTCATAAACCAGGTTACACACAAAACACTCAGGGGTGGATTTTCCAGGGATCAAAACTTGCTCTCACAGATCAGCAGGCCTTAGACATCATCACTGACTTACATAACTGTTTCCATATAGGATCACAGGTCCTCTACAGACTTTTAGCCCCAGTAGTCACACATCCTTCTCTAAAGGCTATCATTCTTCAGATTACTCACACCTGTCATCTCTGTGCTAGGACCTCTTCTTAGGGACACATATCACGCCTTTCCTTTCCTACTCATCAATTTTTGCAGACACACCCCTGGTTAGGACTGGCAGATACATTTTACACATATGCCCCACCACAAAACTCTCAAATATTTTCTCACTTTTGTTTGTATTTTTTCAGGATGGATAGAAGCCTTTCCCACAACCAGGGAGACTGCTGATATAGTTACTAAAGTCCTGTTACAGGAAATCACCCCAAGGCTTGGTCTACCTCAGAGTATTCAGTCAGATAATGGTCCAACCTTTATTTCTTAGATTACTCAACAGGTATCTTCAAGCTTACACATCACCAGGCACCTACACATCCCATACCATCCACAATCCTCCAGAAAAGTAGAAAGGGCAAATGGCCTCATAAAACACACCTTACAAAGCTCATTTTAGAACTACAGCAACCTTGGCCTCAACTTCTGTCCCTAGCCTTAGCCAAGCTCAGGGCAATTTCAGGGTCCTACATTTTTAAGTCCTTTTGAACTTATGTATGGCGGGCCATTCTTACTTCACAATCTTCCCACTCCCCAAAGTCTCCCTCCCCTTGCTGACTACATCCCAATTCTCTCTTGCCTCCAGCACTTGTTACGACAACATGCTGATCGCTGCCTTCCCCAGCCCTCTGAAGGGGCCAAAACAGATGCTCCCATATTCCCAGGAGATCTAATTTATCTCAAATGTTCTAAATCCACAGGACTACAACCAAGGTGGAGCAGCACCTACCTGGTCTTCTTGGCACCCCCAACAGCTGTCAAAGTTGCTGGACTTCCATCTTGGTTTCACTCATTCAAGCTAAGCAATGCCCTCCCAACCCTGAATCTAACCATCCTGAGTGGTCATCTCATCCTCTGTCGCCCACCGTCTTGGTCTCACCAAGGCCTCACAGCCACAATTCTCAGGCTAAGTCATGTTTTGTTATCCAATTCGGTTCCTAATTAGGAACCTTACATTCTATTAATTATCATTTTTACAGCAGGACTCTTGACGATCTTTCCTAAAGACTCCCACATCATGCGTAAGATCATCTTCATGTTGTTCTACGTGACAACTGTCTTAGTCCTCTCTACCCTCAGCTGTTTAGTCAAACATGAGATCCCTGAGGGCCTAAGCTCTTACCTTCCTTACAGTGACACAGCCGTGGCCCTACCCACCCCTCTTATTCTTCCCAGCTCAACTCCTAGACCAGAGACAAGCCCTACATACCTACACTTTTAACTTTTACCCTTTAGGATGGGCAAAATAATTACCTCTTATAACTTCATACCTCCTAACCCCACACTTATTTTTCAGAATTCTACTTTACCGTGGTCCTGATAGAATGGCATATTTAAATCAAAGGCACCTTTCCTTCTACCTCATCTGGTCCTTAAATATGAGAATGGCCTGCCTCCTCATAGCACCTTGTCTCTTTGTTTTTCCAGTCTAAATGCGGGCATTCACCAATCATGAAGTTGTCCTGGCTGAAACACCTGGTACCAGCTTCTGCATGGGCATCAACCATCATCCCGTCAACCTTCCTAAACCCCAATATAGTGCCCCCTCTCAGCAGGAAATAATAAGAGAGAGACTTCACTCTTTTCCTAACAATAAAAAGATAGGAATGAAAGGATTTTGCCCTAGAATAAGTTACTCAGTATTACAGCAGTGGGAGGGGGAGCCAAGGGATGTTTACCTTGAGGTTACTTCCTCCTTCCCCTATGAGAACTTCCTTTTTCCTTTCCCAGTGGTGTGAAAAAGGTCCCAATCAGCTGCTTTCGTGTCATCAATGCCCACCCTAAGCACCACCCCCAGTCAGAGGTTATATGTATATCCCATACTGCACATTAAGATCAGAAGAGGCCCAGACCATCTGTGGTCACTGGACTCTTCTCCACATCCTTGGAATAAAGGCTACTGTTACTTCATATTTTTTCTCTTTCATCGTGCTGAAAACCCTAGCAATAAGTATATGTTGATTAATTGCTTGATTAATTACAAATATTAAGGAGGGCTATGTGTTCTCTGGCAAATAATTTAAGGGTAACAATGTTCCTTTTTCTTGACCAAGTTTCCGTGATTCTAGATTAACTTTTGTTTCACAGTGGTTTTTATTTGCAAATGCAAGGACTGATTGATTCATTCACTATTTCACTGATCCTGACTTGATTGGGGAAGAGTAAAAGATGATACTCGAGCAAGAAATAGAAAGTCTGCTGGTGTTGCTCACTATTCCCAGGGAGTAAATATTACATATGCTAACTAAAAAGTATGCATCACAAAGATTTCCGAGGAATGGCTTATAACTAGGAAAGAAGTAGGGTTGTGGGAAGTTTTATACTCAGAGACTTCTGAGACTTCTGCCACCAGCAGATGGAGGTCAGCTTACAGCAGACACAATAGCTAGAAGAAGGAGAACTTTGACTTAATCCCAGAGGCCCTTGGGAACCAACTCTGGGTCCTCTAAATACTTCAGACAACAGGTAGAAAGGGAAACAGGAATACTGAAGACCATCTTACTCAGTTATATTTACGCTAGGAAAGAGGATGCACTTGGGCATTGTTTAACGTTTGGCCACTTAAATAGTAGGGAAAAGTTAAAGAGAGTTACACTGTGATGTTCAGTTTCTCGTCATTCATTTGCTTATTCTTTTGTTTGCTTATTCATTCATTCAACAAACATCTAATGTCCACAGAATGCTGGGTATGGTTCTAAGCACATGGGATATGAGTTTTAAAGATAATACAGTCTTTTTTGTTTAAAAACTAGAAGTCTACTGGCATCACAAGGCTAGCAAACAGAATTTAAGGGCTAGTTACATTAATTCTGGCTTCATATTTCTGTGTAAGCAGTACACTGGAGAAGATTTCTAAACTGCTACTCAGAATAGTATCAGAAACGTGATAATTTCTAATACCACATAAACATAATAATTTTTCTACATGATAACACTAACATCTAAATTAATATGCAATTCATAAAGTGGTGGATTTTAGAGGTGTGGGGGAAGTTAGTGACCCTCTAATCCAAGCTTCTGACTTATAGAGGAGGAAACTCGCAATGGGGATCTGAGGTGTCTGAGGCCGCCACCGAGCGGAGCTCGCATGCAGGCCCCTTGCCCGCTTTCTCCTTCTCTCCCTCAGCGCCTACGGTGGCCTCTGAGTCACTCACCTTTACTGGCATCCTTCTGTAGGACCGGGACTGGGACAAAGCAGGGATCAGAGCGGAAAGAAGACGGCAGCACTGTGAGGTTGGATACGGTGGAGCCTTTTATTAACTTCTGAACACTCACCTAGACAGTAAGGAAACTTGTTTTCAGCAGACATTTTTGCCTTTACAATGAACACAGTCTTCTTCTTACAAACAATAAATAAGAGTATGAATCGTTTCATTAAGTTTTAATAAAGTAGCAATATTGGCTGCAGTTTTATTGCTCAGGAGTAGTACCCTGTGCTATTGTCTTCTGTCAAGATTCTGTGTAATTTAAAATAGTTAATTAAATCAATTAACGTGGTGATTTCCACTATGCAAAGTCAGTATCATAGTTAATAAAGGAACTATTAAGATTTTGTTCAATTTTAATGACTTTAATATAAAAGTGCTAAATCTTGACATAGGAGATTTTGAATACAGCAAAGTTTGGTACAGGCAGATTTCCCAGGAAGTAAATATTAAAGTTTTGAGGTTAAAAAAGTAAAATGAGAGGATCTGAACATGTCAGTCAGTATTAACAGGTTAGGGACAAATACTGAGTAGGTGCTTATGCAGATCTCAGAAATAAAGACACGGTGTCTAAATCAGTTACAGTGGATAATTACTTTTCCTAAAATCATAAAAGGCTTTTATTACAGTTATGAAATATGAATTGTTTCTATTAAATGACTTCTAAATTTTAAAGATTATATGCATTTCACATAAATCACATATAATTATGTAGCCCAAGTACACTATTTTTACCTTTATTATAAGAGATTATAAATTACCTGAGTCTCTCAGCAGGGGAAATGCAACTGTTTGGTATTTATAGACTGATTTAAATTTTCAAGTCATTTTCCAAACATTAATTAATCTGCATAACTTCCAAGGGAACTAAGTAATGGTTTACTATTTCGTAAAGAACTCAGGACAGAACGGTCAGTGAATGTGCTGCAGATCACACAGTGTACTAGATGTGCACAGATTTTCCAGCTTTAAAATTAACTGGATTTTACACTGGCGAAATTTGCTATCAGTTATATCACATCTTATTAAGGGCCAGCGACCTTAAAGAAGAGGAAAACGGAAATTTCCTTAAGTCTGAGGGGGAGAACAATCACCTTACTAATCGTTTGTTGGCTGAGAAATATCTGTGTGAATAAAATCTTAGCGCCCCCCCCCCCCCCCCGCCAGGATATGGTACTTCAGGGAAACAATACTTCGGCCAATGTATATATTGAGGGTTGAACTTGGAGTCTCCTGAATGCTAGGGAAGTACTCTTCCTACTGAGCTACACCACCACTGTACCAGAAATAGTGTTTTAGAAGGGAAGTGCAGGCAGAAAGTGCAGTCCGTTTCCTTCCGGGTGAGTTGGAAGGGGAGGCCTTGCTTGACGAGAGGGAGCTCGTGCGCTGGAGTCACCATGGGATCCGGCTTGCTGCTTCACCTGGGTGGCTTTGTGCCATCCTCAGTGCTCCTCTCCCTACCTCCCTTCTAGATAGGAGTAGCTCCCAAGATTCATCCTCATCAGGGAGCCTAAGGCAGTCCCCCGCACTGCACTCCAGGGATGGAAAGCCAGTAGCAAAAGGGCAGGGCCTCGACTGTCCGACTGAGTACAGGGTCAGTGAGGCAAAGGCAAACTGAAGGGAGAGAGAAAGTTTCCATTTAAATAAAATTGTCACACACCACGGGGATGTAAAATATAGGCTTGGCAGTTTGGGGGGCAAGGGACATTCTTTATCTGGGTTTTCGGAAAGCCTTTGATAAAGAACACCTGGCAATCGGCTCACGAAAGCTAAAGCAGCAGGATCCAGCGTAAAGCATACTGTAAAGAACGACATAAAGGAGAGGATGGAAAGCAGGTGACGTTCAGATTGTCTCAGGCAATCAGGCATTTATGACGATGTTTTAATTCTTTAAATGGCTTCAGTCAAAACAGTGGAAGCCAGACTCAAGAGCTACGGTCAAACAGCAGTGAGGAGTGTGTAGGGCACACAGGGGAGGGTGATGGTGTGCGGCTGGTGCCACTTTCCTCGGACAGTGTCACTAGCTATGAAGCACTACCCACCACTGTCCTGGTAACCATGTCTACACACACCTGCTTGGAGGGAGGAGGAATTGCAACGAACTTCAGTATTTACTGAGCACTTACTATATAACACTAACTTTAATAACAGTGAGCATTAAATTTCATGAGCAGTGCAAAAGCTAAGGGCTATGGTTGTGCAGGAGGGAGTAATTAACTCTGCCTGCTGGTACTGCAGAAGGCTTTGCAGCAACTCTCAACCCCGACTGTATATTAGGGTCACTAAGGGAGTTTTTAAAAAATACTGCTGCCTGGGCCCTCACCCTGCACAATTAAATCAGAATAGCTGAGCAGAGGCCTGGGCCCCAGTATTTTTTAAAGCCCCCAAGTAATTCTGATGTGCAGTGGAGTTTGAGATGCACTGCAGTAAATGACATTTAAACGGTATCTAAAAGGAAGCATTGAGTTAACATGAGGTAGAGAAGAGGCTGCAGTTATTGGTAGAAAGAATGATGGCGACAAAGTAAAACAGGATTTCACAGGGCTGGACGAATGTGTAAATATCAGGAGGAAGAGAATGAAAAGGTAGGTTGGGAGAAAAGCAAGGTAAAGCAACCGGCTGAACAAACATGCTGACCCACCATGTAACCATTTCACACACATCTTCTGGCTTCTCTGTTATTCATGCTGTATGTTATATTCTATGTGAGCACGATATAGTCTGCATATGATAGGAAATATCACACAATAATAATATGAACTATCGGATAGTAAAAGAATTATACACAGAATCATGATCTTTGTTTCTTCATTACTATTTGCAAAACTAATTCAGAATTTTATCACTTTATGCCTAAATGTTATATAGCTTATTTTTTTAAAAAAAATTGAAAACATAGAAAAACTTAAAGAAGAAAACAGCAATCATAGTTCCATCCATCAGAATGAATCACTGTTAATATCTTGGTATATTTGCTTCCAATATTTTTAAATAGGAAAACCATTCTGTTATTCTGGTACAGTTGATATATGCTCATTATAAAGATTCCAAACAATACAGGACCATAAAGTTGACTAAGAAACCATGCAAATAGAATTAGGAGATCCATCTTCCTTGATATCTTTTGAATGATTGATACATCAGTGTGTAAAAATAGGGTTTACATTATTAAATTTAATTTGACATGAATTTAGGAGGAACAAAAAAGGGCTAAATTAAGCTGAACAAATTATTAAACCTTGAATAAATATTTCTTTACTATAAAGTTCCTCTGAACTAAAAATTATTTGTCTGCACAGGCTGGTAAATTTTTCCTAAAAGGACCAGATAGTAGACATTTCAGGTATGTGGGCTCTGCAGTCCTGTTGTCATGGCTGGAAAGTGACATGGAAAATAGTTAAACAAAGCATGTGCTAGAGTCTGAATGTCTGTGTTCACCAAATTCAAATGTCGAAACTCACTCTCCAATGAGAAGATATTGGGAGGTGGGGCATCTGAGAGGGGATTAGGTCATCAGGGCTTAGTGCTGTTGTAAACAAGGCCCAGGGAGCTACCTTATCCTTTCAACCACATGAGAGGACAATGAGAAGGTGCCGTCTGTAAACCAGAAAGCAGAGCCTCCCTAGACATGGAACCTAAGAGCTTTGACTTTGAATTTCCAGGTCTGTAGAACTATAGGAAATAAATTTCTCTTGTTCTGAGCCACCCAGCTCATGGTATTTTGTTATAGTAGGCTCCATGCACTAAAGGCATTATGTTGCAGTGAAACTATATTTACAAAAACAAGTCAGCCCTCAAGCAGTAGTTTGTGGACCCCTATTGTACAGTTAAGTAAAGGTGATTATGAAAAAAAATCGAGATTTTTTTATCACGGGCTTTTGTTATGGATGGACATTCTGACTTTAAAAGATGAGAACAGCAGAGATTTCTTGGAACTCCCATCTCTACTCCTTCACCTCCCATTTCTAGATTAGTATTTTTACATTGTCTGGATTTATAGCATTCACATTCTTTTTTGATACCATAATTGTGATAATTACCTATTTCGATATGTAAATGGATCCAGGAGCTAGCAAGAGTTCTTTGGTTGTACCTTCTCTAGGTTAGAGTTCTTTTGATTGATCTCTAAATAGGCTGGCTTTAGTTATTAAACAGGTTAGTTTTTTCCCAACAAATGTTCATGGGTCATTTTTTTTTTTGTTCCCAAAACTTTGTAGACCATTGTCTTTTATGTAGACCATTGTCTTTGTACCCATTGTCTTTTATGATGACTATTATGAAATCTGATGTCTTGATTTACCCCTTGTAGGTGATTTAATTTCTTTTTGTCTAGATGTCTAAAACAGGCTTTGTCTTTTAATTCAGGCATTTAACTTTGAAACAATTTATGTTAAATACAGTGATGCCTCAGTTGTCACACTGTTGGCTCCAAACTTAAACTTTGCACTACTTGAAAAGCAAAGTTCAAAATATTTTTTGCTTATTGTTTATAACTTTGCTTCATAATCAAGCTGAAAATGTGACATGAAAAAACCTGCCCTGGCCAAGAGTGAGTCATGTGCTACAGCTTGCCACGGACGTGAAGAAGCACTGCTTTGGTCTAAGCACAGCTCTCACCTAAACACTAACACATCACTGTGCTTTTTTTTTGCACTTTGTGTAAAATGTTATAACCGCGGTTCCAAAGAAAGTTAGTGATACCAGCAGTAAAGATAAGAGGCAAACAGTGAGAACCATGATAGAATTAAAGAAAAAAAGTCATTGTAACATATGTTAGAAGTCCTGGAAAAATGAATCTATAAGTGTAATTCTTGGGCCTCAGAACAAATTATTTGGTTTTCCATTATTTCTTATGAGAAAATATGGTCATTTCTCAAATTATTTAGTGTTCCAACATGAATTTGAAACAAATTGAGTTCAATAACTAACGGATCACTGTATTCTAAAATCAAAGTTTTCTGAAATTCAGTGTTTTCTTTCCATCTGGTAGCTCAGTTCTTTCTTCACTTTGGAAACATTTTCTTACATTATATTAACAAATATATCTTTTCTTTCATTTGCTGAGTTCTC